AACGTAGGGAGTGTCCCTACGTTAAATCTAACAAGGGAGTGCTTTTCACTCAAAAGGGCCATTCATATAAGATGTATACCATAGCAACTCTGATATAGGTATCTTGATAACAGATATCGCAGTGGTAAGGTTGGTTTGCAGATTTGCGGTGCAGGTTCGAGTCCTGTCCTCTACGAATGTTTTGCGTTTTTTACGTTTACGTGTATCTGCTGGAGAAAGTTTTTAGATACCTTTAATTCGTGAATAATCCAGTAACCCCTAAATGCTACTTTAAAAACAGTAACATAATGAAAATGATAGCATCAAACTGTGTAAAACATAAAAGCTGTTCAGTTCATATATTTTCTGTCTTGCACTCTTCGTTTCAAACATTTTCTCTCTTCTTGATATGTGGCAAGTTAGATATGCACCCACATCTCTAATTTCATAGGATGTTGCAATAACGGCGAAGAACACTTTTTTGATGCACTTACTGTAGCAGCTTTTATATTTGTCTTGCACTTAGTTATTTGTTTCGCTTTTAACAGAGACTTTCGATATTAAATTAACGGGTTAATTGTATTTAAAAGCTTTCCCCAGCAAAACGTAATTGCAAAAAACACGCTTGCTGACGAAGGTCTCGAACCTCCAGTGCAGACTTATAAAACAAAACACTCACCGCTGCACCATTTTTCACCCGCAAAAGATGCACAAATTCTCCTTTTTTTTGCAGGTGACCTCACGAAAACATTGACCATATCTTCTCTCAGAAGACCATTTTGCAGATAGCCAGTTCGAGTAAAAAGCATTCCCTTGTAAGTGAAAAAGGCATTGAGAGCCAAGTGGTGTTAAGCTCAACAGCATGAAGCTGGTTAACAGAGATGAAAGATTGATTGTTCTATAAACAAGCGACTTTGCATCATTTTAACAGACACCTTTACAGCTCTTTAAGGTACTGATAACACCGCGCTACGTTCACATTGCGAAATGTGTTCATATTGTGGTATTAGCACGATAAACTAACTTAGATCGCTCACTCTTACGTGAAGCTTCTAAAGTAAGTTAAGCTTAGTTCTTATAAATTGATAACATAGCGTATAAGATCAAAAGTGGCATTGGAGACTTCTTCCCCCTTTGCAGTAGTTCAGGTTTAGCAAACGACGATGTCGCATTGCTGAACTGTACACTGCAAAGTTTATTTTTCCAACAACATAATTCACATCCTCTTCAAAAAACGTTCACTTACTGCTAACAATGGTTTTTCAAAGATGGAACAGTTGTTTCCTTACTACTGGAATTTCGTCGAGCACCTATGTCTTTTAGTGCTGCATGCTTTGCTGTTCTTTAGCTGGCGTATCAAGATTTGCTGATTTTCATAATTTTGATATATCTTTAAAGGACTCACTCGTGCCTACGCTTTTCGATGATCCTATATTGAATAGATGGTAGAAGATCACTCGTATAGCCAAGTTTTCCAAACAGATAATTTCACAACGCTAGTATTTGAAAATTCAGCTCTTCGTGGTAAGCTTAGGATAAAGCAGATGTTGAGCTTTGCGTTCTTGATGATGCCTCGAGTCTGATAATTTTTCCATTAGGGTTTTCGGAACTTTTCTACAATGAGTTCGATTTCAAAGCTTGAAATGTCGTTTTATATTTCTTCTATTTACCCTCCTCTGTACAAGTCTGTATGTGCAGCCATTGATTAGCTCATGACGGCACATCGTTTTGAGGAGTTAAATAATCATGTGAATTTGAACAAATGAGTTGGCATCGTCGGTTCTTCTCAATTAAATTTTCTGAAAAAAATTTAATTGCAAATTGAGTCCATTTTTAAACTTACTTGTTTGAAAAAACATACAATTGACCTGATTTCCATTCCAGACGCCTTTTACCGTATATAAAAGTTATCCTAAACCTTTTATGTTGCAGACTCCAAACATCTACCTGCCATTACGATTGAGAAACAACATCCTCATCGGCTTATGGACCAATCGACGTCGACGGAAGATCTGGTGGATTTCATAGCGGACGTCATCAGCATCGATGGGCGGACCGATGCGAACGCCAACTATAAAAGGGAAGTACGCGACCAATCGACCACAACTTCACCATCCTTGGATAATCCAAAGCAACAAATAATGGAGAGGAAAATGCAAGACCAGACTACATCTACATCCATCTCTCCAACAAACAATTCTCAGCCACCAGTAGTCATTTTCGAAGACGCAGCAGAAACGGATGTCTCGCTGGCAGACTTCCAGTAAGTTTTTTTCTTACTGTACTTTCTATTATTCTAAATTTCTTCTTTTAAAATTTAGAGCCATTTTAGCTACTTTTACCTCTTACTAATGTCTAGAAGCAATTAAATTTTCCAAATTTAGCAACACTAGAGGGCTAAACTTTACACTTTTCCCATAATTCACGCCATTTTTGTGTCCATGCCTTTACACTCTTTATTGCAGCGCTGCACTGCACCGAAAGTTTAAAAAACCTGAACATTTGCATATGTCCTCTGCTTTTCAGCTTCTCGGATTTGGAGAGTTCCTC